GGGCTCAAGCAATTCTCCCACTTCAGGCTCCCAAAGTGCTGGGATTATAGGCATGAGTCACCGCACCCAGCCTCCAGTGAACTTTTAAAGATTTAATGACTATTCTTTTTTTAAATGTGTGGTAGAATTAAACGTAAGACACTCACTGGGCCTCAGCTTTTCTTTGAGGTTACTATTATTATTGTTACTAATTCAATCTTCTAACTTGTCAATTCTGATTCTCCATTTGTTCTTGAGTTAGTTTTGGTAGTTTGTGTCTTACGAGGCATTTGTCCCTTTCATCAAAGTTATCTAATTTTTAACATGAGTTTGCTTCTGCTATTCTTTCACTATTTTACTTCTTTATACAAGGTAGTTAGAAATGTCTTCTCTTTTTACTGATTTTAATATTGGAGTGATTTTTTTCTTCAACTCACATTTTTTGTATTAGACCAATTAAAGGTTTGACAATTTTGTTAATCTTTAAATCATCTTTGGTTCTGATATTTTTCTTACTGTTTTTAGAGTTCTCTTTAATTAATGTCTACTCAAATCTTCATTTTCTTCTTTCTGCTTGCATTCATTATATTTCATTGGCCTTTCTGTTTTTCTAGATTTTTAAAGTAGAAATCGAGGTTACTTATTTGAGACCTGTCTTTTTATTAATAGGGGCATATATAACTATAACTGTATCTCTAAACAGTGCTTTTGCTGGGCATGGTGGCTCATGTCTGTAATCTCAATCCTGATGCTTTGGGAGGCCCTTGTAGGAGGGTTGCTTGAGGCCAGGAGTTCAAGACCAGCCTAGGCAGCACAAGGAGATCCCCATCTCTACAAAAACAAAAACAAAAAAACCCACAATACTTTAGTTGCAGCACATAAGTTTAGCATTTAAATTTTTTTTATATATCAAGGCAATTCTTTCACCTATGGTTACTTCCATGGCCTGTGTGACATTTCAGAATATTCTGTTGTGTTAGTCCATTTTATGCTAGAAAAGACAAAAGTCTCATCTAGGAACTGCAGAGACAAACACACCCCGGCAGACACATTGGGTTTACCCCACTGAGTTCTGCATTAAACTTCTGACCGACAGATCTGTAAGAAAATACGTTTCTGTTGTTTTAGGGCACCCTATTAGTTACAGAAGCAATGGGAAATGGATACAAATAGTTTTGGCAAACAGGACCTGTATCGTGGTGTGCTGGGTTTTGAAGACCATCCACAGGCTCCATGACAAACCTCGGGACTCACAGAACTCATAAAAGCTGTTCTCCTAGTTGTGGTTTTTGTTGGTTTATTGTAATGTGATCACTCATGTTAAACATCAGCAGAAAGGCCCATGACGAGGAGTCTGGGAGAAATCAGGGGCAAGCTTCCAAGTGCCCGCTCCAGAGTCTGTGTGGACAAACACTAATTCCCAGCATGTGTGTGTGACAACACGAGTGTAGTGTTTCAACCAAGGAAGTTACATGAGGCCTTGATGCGCAGGACTGTCAATGGGGGTCACGCATGTAGACATGCAGGGATGCAGTGTGAACACTTGGACCCAGCAGGCACGAAGCCAGCTGCTCCTCTGACCAGCTCCAGGGATGGCTCTTTACCCACATCCATCCCACTGCTCCCAGCCCTGCTCACTTTGCTCCTTGTGAGGTGCATGAGAGGGTGGAAAAGCTGTGGTGTTTGCGGAGCCATTCTTGTACTCTTCCCTCAATAAAGGCCATTTTGTGTCAAGACCATGTGACTTTGTGGTGTTTGCATTTGTAGGTGATACCCAGTGAGGAAAATGGCTTCTCTTGAATGTGAGCTTTTGGTAGCGTGGACCACCTGAGCCATTCTGGGGGAAGGAGGCACCCCCTTTATGTTGGTGGAAGCTTTATTGGTTGAAATCGTCACTGCCAAACTGGTGAGGGGAATATGTCGAACATCTCAGAAGTCCAGACCCTTTGAAGTACTTGAGAACATTAATGAAACAACAGAACTGATCTCTTAGATGCTCGTCTCTATTATGAAACTTCTTTTGAGTTCTAAATTCAAAAAGAAAGTGGAAAAATACATCCTTTTCAGTCTGCTTTTTTATGGATGGAGCATCCTGGCCCTTTAGGTCCAAAGCCAGTCATCAGGCAACCCCTGCCAAGGACACATTTATGGAAATATTGAGCTCATTTGCCATCACAGAAGGGACTTTTCTGAGGACTAAATCTAAACTGGGGCATGAAGCGCCCCACAAAGACGGTCACCACTTTGCCACACTTGTCTATGTGGCCTCTTGATGTTAGTGTCCTGACTGGGAGGGCAAAACTTCCCTGCACCTCAGTCATTTTTCATGGACTGAGGAATGCAGGTGGGTTTGACACAGGAGCGAGTCCTAAGAAAAGAATGTCCCAACTTTATTCCTCAGCCTGAGGATGTCAATAGGAATAGGACAGACTTTGCAGCCTCTATATATCTTGTTCCAGAGACAAGAGACCAGAAAACAGACCATACTTTTACCCATGGCTGAAATAGGCCTTCCAAAATGGCATCCCAGGAAATCTACTTCTGGATAGTACAATACGTTATTTGCTTAGGATGATAATATAGGTGACATCATTCAAACGGAAATTTGGAAATGATCCTTAAAATTGCAAAATCTTGTCTTTTGTGACATCAGACATCTCCTTGGATAGGAAAAAATGGCTGGGACAAGGAAACCCATAGGGAAGAATTTTTGGGAACTGTGCTCACCTGTGCAGGTGCTTAGTCCCTTTGGGGTCTCTGTATCAAACTTAGTTCCAGCACCCCGACACTGTTTGGATCAGGTGGGTGGTGGATTACATTAATCAGGGCAATCAAGTAAGGAACTGGGTTTCACTGCAAGAGTTTTTTTTTTTTTTTTCTTTTTTTCAAAACTGTGAAATTTGGGGCTTGGATAGACTTAGAAGATTTACAATTTAAGGGGGAAAAAGGACTCTGAAAAGCAGACTGTGACTGTAGCTGGTAATAATAAAGTAAGAGGTAATAGAAGTCTTCTCACCACAAACCATAAGAGGAAGGACACAATAATAAAATACAACACTTTAGAACACCAGAAATTAGGCCGCTCATGACTGTGATCCCGGAGATAGAGTGAGAATGAGGCCAGCCCTGTGATCACCCTGGTGTTCTGCCTGAAGCAATTCCCAGACTATACCTCAAGTGGTAAGAAGAACAGGCTGGTCTTGTGGCACTGATTTCAAATCTTACAGCTGAAATGATTGGTATATCAGCAGCAGAGGAGGAGAGAAGAGGGAGCCAGGCAGAGAAAGGGCCCCACATATATGCATATGGTCCCCTGGCCTTCGGATGCATTTTAAGAAATGTAAATATAATTAAACTTCATAAAGTAAGCAGAAAACTGCTATCAAAGAATTAACTTCCATTGGTGGATAGTAACCCAATAAATGACTAGAGCTCAGATGAAACAGAGACTTCCGGGTTTTCACCCACCAGAGTGGAAAAAGCCTATTGAACCCAGCAGCTGAACGGTCAGGAAGGCTAAACTAGATATAGCATATAGGCTCCCTTAGAACAACTGTTAGGAATAATGAAAAGCAATCCTCTAAAGGATCAAGCTGAAAGTCACACAACAGTACAGGACAAATCATAGTAGCATTAAAAGAAAGACCATAAATCAGCCAGGCGCGGCAGTTCACGCTTGTAATCCCAGCACTTTGGGAGGCTGAGGCGGGCGGATCACGAGGTCAGGAGATTGAGACCATCCTGGCTCACACAGTGAAACCCCGTCTCTACTAAAAAACACAAAAAATTAGCCGGGCATGGTGGCAGGCGCCTGTAGTCCCAGCTACTCGGGAGGCTGAGGCAGGAGAATGGCGTGAACCCGGGAGGCGGAGCTTGCAGCGAGGCCACTGCACTCCAGCCTGGGTGACAGTGCGAGGCTCCGTCTCAAAAAAAAAAAAAAAAAAAAAGGCCATAAGTCAGAAATTTGCAACATAATGTTAAAATAATCCAGACTGCATAAAAGTAATTAGATGTTTAAAGAAGCATAAAAATATATTTTTATCTCTGGGGAAATTTATTTGATTTATATTATTTTATATAATGTACATATTAATATACATTATATAATATATGAATGATTTATATACATCTTATTTGTATTTATGTTATATACTTACAATTATATTTATATCAATAATATTATAAATAAATATCAAAATATTTGTTATATATCTGGGGTACTGCAAATTAAAATACCAAGACAATAGGCTCCTATTAGAAAACTTAAAATTCAATATACTGACAATAGCAGATGCTTTACAGGATGTGAAGTAACAGGAATCCATGCATTGCTGTGAGAAGTGAAAAATGCTGTGGCCACTTTTGAAAACAGGTTAGCAGTTTCTGACAAAGTTAAACAAATTCTTAACATGCAATTCAGAAACAACATTCCTAGATATTTACCTGCATGAGATACTTGCATCACACAAGAACCTGCACAGAAATGTTTATAGCTGCTTGGAAGACAATTGCCAAAACATGAAAAGAATGAATGTGTCCTTAAATAGGTGAATGGGATACACAAGCCCTGATAATGCATACAGTGAGATGTCATTCTGCAAGAAAAAGGCGTTCTAAGGCCACAAGAAGACATGGAGGAAGACTATATGCATATTGCTAAGTGGAAGAAACCAATCTGAAAAGGCTGGAATTGTGAGGAAGGCAGTAGGGAGGGGCATGAGTCCTGAGCACCAGCCCGGGCCCAGGGTCCACATGTCTCCTGAATCCACCAGATGGCGCTGTGACCTAAGCACCTGCTCACCTGCTCAAGCTCCCCAGCTCCGCAGATGTGAGCCCCTTTCCCCCTGCATCTGGCAGGTGTTTCTGTGCCCTCTCTGGGTCCCCTCCTTCCTACAGTCTTTCTTTTCCTCAGCTGAAGATCGTACTGAGGTCGAAGGTGGGGCTTGCACCACCTCTAAAATGGGAAAGATTTGCATGGGGATTTCCCACCCTGAGCATTATAGTGAAAGATAAGAAGGGCTGGTGGCTCCTTCCTGGCTGTGGCTCAGGAAGCAGAGCCTGGAGCGTCTCCACCATGGCCTGGGCTCCACTCCTCCTCACCCTCCTCGCTCACTGCACAGGTGGCTGCCCGCAGGGAATTCAGGGAGGACTCCTGGATGTCACCTGGGATGATGACCTCTGCCTTCTCCCTGGGAACCAGCCTGACCTGTCCTCACTGATCTCTGTTTTGCTTCCTCTTGCAGGGTCTTGGGCTGAGGTTGTGTTCACTCAGCCCCATTCTGTGTCGGGGTCTCCGGGGCAGACGGTCACCATCTCCTGCACCCGCAGCAGTGGCAGCATTGACAGCAGCTTTGTGTACTGGTACCAGCAGCGCCCGGGCAGCGCCCCCACCACTGTGATCTACAATGATAACCGAAGACCCTCTGGGGTCCCTGATCGGTTCTCTGGCTCCATCGACAGCTCCTCCAACTCTGCCTCCCTCACCATCTCTGGGCTGAAGTCTGAGGATGAGGCTGACTACTACTGTCAGTCTGATGACAGCAGCGGTTATCACACAGTGCTCCAGCCTCATGGGGAAGTGAGACAAAATCTCCCCAGAATGTCCCTACCTTGATCTGCCCTCAGCCTGTCCCCACCAGTGAGGGCTGAATTTTCCTGTCCCTGCTTGAACTTTGGAGTTAAACTTTTGTTTATAGTTCCTGTATTTTCTTTCCAAAACACAAATATTTTCTCCCAAGACTTGACGGGTGATCCTCTAATCCCTTTGTGATTACTTCATGGAACACACGTAGTTCAAAACTGTGTTTCTAAACAGCAGTGCTCTTGACACTGTGGGCTGGATCATCCCTTGTGATGAGGGAAGCTCTCTGCATTACAGTTCATTTAGAAACATCTTTTGTGTCCACAAGTCAGACGCCAGTAGCAACTTGCTCCCTGTCATGGCAAACAATAATGAATCACTATTTCCCTATATGCCCAGGGAGGGTCACACTAGTTTGAAAACAGGAGAATGTGGAAAAGCTGCATCTATTAAGAAGGCTTTGGCAGGGAATCCCATTCGTACCATTCAGCTGGACATGAGGCTGCAGGCATTAGCTCTCTGCTTCTGCTTTCCCATCTGGTAGGAAAACAGGTGCCTAGAACTCAAATTACGGTCTCCGTGGATGGATCATGTTCTGCGCAAAATGGGGTCAGAAAATCCATTACCTATTCAAATGGAATCTTCTCTCACCCACTGTGGAGTATAACTTTTGGCAAACCAGATGTGCCATAAATACTTAAAATTTTTAGAGAAAGCTCATGAAAATATATAGACCTAGCTTTATTTATTCTTCCAGGGAGTACTTTTCAAGCACAGGATATAAAGATGAAAAATAATCTAACACAAGTTCTTGTACCGTCGGAGTTTAGATTTTAGAATATATGAGATGACAAGAGCGGTGACAGAGCTGAGTGGACAATGATGTCCTTCCTTTTCCCATAGGGCTGGATCAAATTTGGTCCCACCTCTATTTTTTTACCCTCGAATCTACAGTGTCCAGTACACCCCCACTAACTACATGTGGATGTCTAAATTTAAATTACCTAAATGAGATTAAAAATTATATTTCTCAGTCCCACCGGCAGTGTTTTAATTGCATCATTAACTCACGTGCCCCGTGGTTCCCATGCCAGAGTGCAGACACCGGACATTCCCATCATGGCAGAGGATCTTACTGGACGGTGCTGACTTGGACAATTTACTTAGCATAAGTTTACCTCTGTTTCCTCACCTTCAAAATGGGAATAAAGTAACACTCTAACTTAAAACGGGGAATACCCCTCTTTGTTGGAAATGCATGTCATGCCTTCTCACCCTGCTGTCCTCAGGCTTGGCCATGTGACTAGCTTTGGCCAATGAGATAAAGAGACAGGACATGGCTCATTTCTGAGCAGGAAGTGGGAGACTGGCTGGTGCTTTTCCAAGTTCTCCTGTCTCTCCGACATGATGTCATCAGGGTTCTCAGGAGAATTTGGTTTGCCAGCCCACATCCTGGAGTGAAGATGGAGTAAACCAGAGCCACAGCCAGTCACTGCCTGGGACAGCAAGGGGTGCCATGCAGCAGCTCCTTCAGAGGTCTGATGGGTGTGCTCTCAGTGGGAACCAGCCATCGGGCTCCCAGTGTGGGTCCTACTGCCCGGTGTTCCCTCGAGCCCCTGGGAGTGCCAGGCCAGGCACTTCCCATCTTTCATTTTTCAAATAAACACCCTAAAATGACAGACTTAGGGCTCAGGCTTGGGCTGAGACAGTCAGGGGAAGAATAGATTTGCAAGAAGGCCACTTCCCTCCCCTCAGGTATGGGCAGGAACAAAAGCAATTAGAGGTGTTCTGTCTGTGCAGAGAATCTCAGAAGGTAGAGCCCAGTAGTGCCCTGCCATGGCTTGGACCCCTCTCCTCCTCTCCCTTCTCACTCCCTACAGAGGTGCCCGACCCCTCAGATTCTAGGAACATGGCCCAAGGAGGACACAGGAGCTCTGCCCTTCCCCAGGTGCCCAGGCTATACTCTTGGCTGGAACTCCAGAATCACCCTCCCCGTGTCCGTCTCTTCTTTACTCCAGGTCCTGGGCACAACCTGGGCTGACCCAGGAAGCCTTGGTGTTAGGGTCTCTGAGTCAGATTGTCACCATCGCCTGCACTGGGAACAGCAACAACACTGGATACAATGGGGCTGACTGGTTGCAAGTTTCCTGGTGCTGCCTCCAAACTCCTCATGTACGGTAGCACCGATCAGCCCTCAGGATTCCGGCTCCATTCTCAAGCTCTCATTCCGGCAACAGAGCCTCCTTGACCATCTGCAGCTCAGCCTGAGGATGAGACTATTACTGCTCAACTTTGGGCAAAAGCATGAACACTCACACAGTGCTCCAGACACATGGAAAACTGAGACACAAACCCGCCCTCTGCCTCCCTGGGTTGTCAATCACTCACTGTAATAGCCTGTGAACAACAGCAGCGGAAGGATCCATTTCTCTGTCACCTTTTCCCTAAGAATTGAGGGGTCTGATGCTGTTATGTCAGCCATCACTTAGTGTAGACTACAACAAGGCCCACTCTCGCCCTGTCCTCACAGTTCCACTAGAACGCCAGGAGCTGTGGCACTCCCCTTGGTCTCTGGTGAGGAAATTGTCTCTCAAGCACACACCCAACTTTGCAAGCCATAGTCTAGGCACATGGCAGACCACAGTGGGATGAAGAACTTCATGTCTCCAAAAAGTAGGCCTGGCCCTTGCCCATGGCTCCTGAGACGCCTTCTCTAAGCCCCCAAGGACTCTCCTACCTGTTAGGAGTTTCTGTGTTTGCTTGGAGACCTAGGACTGGTCAGATGGTGACAGCATTATGTGATACAGGCTGGGGGCTTTGGCCCAACCCCAAGGGCTTTCTGAATAAAGAGCCAAAAATAAAAATAAAGATTATGATAAAGGAGATATGTCAAATTATTTATACTTATTTAATCTTGGTGATGTGTGTGAAGATTCAATATAATATTCTATTTATATACATGTTAAATTTTTGTTTTTCTAAATGCCTCAAATAGTGAGAGTTTCTAAATTCATTCCTCTTATGGCACTTTTATATTCACTGTTATTGATTTCTAGTGAGTTTTTAAATTGGCAAATTACATAGTTTATCGGTTAGAAATCATTCAGGATAAATAAAAATTCTTAAGATTAAGCACCAATAAGACAATACTAGATTATAGTCAGCATATTAGTTATCTATTACTGTGTAACGAGCAGCTTAAAACAACCCAAATTTATCACTTCACCGTTCCTGCGGGTCAGGAGTCTGGGTGTGGTTTAGTTGAGTCTCTTGCTCCAGCCTCACAAGGCTGCGGTCAAGATGCCAACTGGAGCTGCAGGCTCAGCTAAAGCTTGACTGAGAAACGTCTGCATCCAAGACCAGTGGTTACTGGCAGAACTCAGTTCCTCGAGGCCTGCTAGAGCCAGGGCCTTAGTTTACGGTGATTGCTGGTGGGAGGTCACTCTCAGTTCCTACTACATGGCCCTCCCCAGCGTGTTCACGTGCTTCCTCCAAGCCAGTAAGGGGAGGTTTCCTGGCAAGAAGCTGCTACAATCTTTTGTGATATAATTACATATATTCCATCATTGTCATCATATTCTATTTATTAGAAGTCAGTCGTAGGTCCTGCTCACACTCAAGGGGATGAGATTCCTGGTGAACCTTTACTTTGAAATTATAAATCTCTCAAAAACACAGATCCCATTTACGTGAACTATATTAGCTGAACTCGGTGCTTGCAATCAAATGTTGTAATAAACATGTGTGGACTCACAGTGAAACATGAATGGCAAAGACCAGACTCATGCGCTCCACAGGGGCAATCAGGGAGCAGTTGCTGGGGGCCCAGAAAGTGTGTTCACAGGTGGAGAAATCCCACAGAAGCTGCAAATCTGGATGGATGTGGGCAGAGGGAGGTGGGCCCTGTGGTCACTGACGTGGACTCAGCTGCTATGTCCTCTCTGTGTGTGGTCTGTGTGGCCCCATCGGCCTCCTCCCAGGTCCTTCCCTTCAAGTAAACAGGGGCCCTGCTGATTGCTGCACTCACTTGTGCCCAGGCCTCAGACTCTGAATACCTGGAGGAGAGAGAGACGTTACATGGAAACACATTTGCATAAGCATCCCCTTCTTTGAGGGACCAGTGGGCAGGGGTAAGAGAGGCCTGAGGCAACCCAGGTCCACATGGGTGGGGCCACAGAAGCCTACGTCCACCATGGCCTGGGCTCCTCTTCTCCTTGTGCTCCTCTCTCACTGCAGAGACATTTAGAACCCATGAGTGTCTGTGTTTCCAGGTTCTCTCTCCCAGACTGTTCCCTCTTCCCACTCAGCCGCCCTCCCTCTCTGCACCTCTGGGAGCACGAGCCAGACTCCTGCGCCCCGCACAGAAGCCTCAATACTGGTATCTATGCAATACACTCTCATCAGCAAAGCCAGTGAGCCCTCCCAGCTATCTCCTGACCTACTACTCAGACTCAAATATGTACCAGGGCTTCAGGCTCCCCAGCCACTTCTCTGCATCCAAAATTGCCTTGGATGATGCCGAGCTTTTGCTCATCTCTGGGCTGCAGCCTGAGGATGAGGCTATTACTGTGCGATCTGGTACCATCCTGACTCTCAGAATTGCACAGGAAGATGGGGAAATGTAGCACAGATACAATCTCTGCAGGTGCTAGCTTATGATGGTTATTTTATGAATGTTAACAACATGTATTTCTACTATTACAAAAAGTAAATATCCATGTGAAAAACTGTCATCCAATATTTCATCAAATAAACACAAAGTATTTTTAAAACTTCTAACTGAATGCAACCATACAATTGCAAGGGTCTGAGAGGAATTTTACCCTGATGTATATAGGATGCTGAGGTTCCATCACACCCAGCAGGCAGCCTGCAGTGAAGGGTCTCGTTCAGTCTGTCCCTGAGCTGACTGATTTGGGTCAAGCCAAGCTTAGTTTGAAAAGGGTAAAAAAAAAAAAATCGAAGTAAAACTTCAGTACTGAAAGAATCCTATTCTGGGTCCACTTGACCTCCTTGTATCTGAGGAAGGGGAGGTGAAGGATGCTGGTGGAAAGTTAGAGGAACCAGAGAGGGTGAGCCAAGGAGCACAGCTGCAGTTGGGGAAGAGCACAGACCCGTGCAAGACACACGGCTCTGGGGCTGATGGGCAGAGTGTGGGTGCAGCCGGCCTGGGGCTGAGCGTTGCTGGGCTAAAACCGTGCTGTCACCTATAACATGGACCTGGGGTGACATGGATCTGATGGGGTCTTACCCAAGCAAAGTCTCTGTCATCTCCACCTGGGTGATGTGTTTCTCATTGTCATCTCAGAGGTAACAGCTCAGTCGTCATCTTATTTCTATCAAGGCTGTCAACTGATTGGGTAAAGGACGTGACTCACATTGTAAATGATGAGCTTGGCCAGGTGCGGTGGCTCACACCTGTAATCCCAGCAATTTGGGAGGCTGAGGTGGGTGGATCACTTGAGCTCAAGAATTGGAGACCAGCTTGGGCAACATGGCAAAACCCAGTCTCTACAAAAAATAAAATAAAATAATTAGCCACATGTGGGGCTGTACACCTGTGGTCCCAGCTACTCAGGAGGCGGAGGTGGGTGGATTGTTTGAGCCTAGGAGGTTGAGGCTGCAGTGACCCATGATTGCACTCCCACACTCCAGCCTGAGTAACAGAGCAAGACCCTGTCTCAAAACAAAAACAAAAAACAACAAAAACAAAAGAAAACAACAACAACAAAGAAAGCAAAAAGCTGATGAAGGCTAATCAAAGTCTAAAGCTTTAAATGTGAATCGTATCTTAAAAAATACCCTCACAGACACATCTAGAATTCTGTTTGAGTATATGACTGGGTTCTGTGGCCTATCTAATTTGACACACAAAATGAACTGTCATATGGAAAGATTTGAGGCAGCTCTGCCTTCTCTTTGGGTCCTCAGGAGGAGGGTCATGGGTGTCCCCATCCTGCCTGGGTCCTCTCTTCCTCACTGTACTCGCACATGACCCAATCATAGGCCCCCGCATGCCTCTCTCCCAGCTCTGCCACA